CCTCCCACGCGCACACACACACCCTGAGCAGGCATGTTCCATCACGGGCGTGCACACACACACACACACCTGAGCAGGCATGTTCCATCGCGGGCGTGCACACACACTCACACACACCCTGAGCAGGCATGTTCCATCACGGGCGTGCACACACACACACGCACACACCTGAGCAGGCATGCTCCATCGCGGGCGTGCGCGCACACACACACACACTCTCACACACACGTGCACACACCTGAGCAGGCATGCTCCATCGCGGGCGTGCACACGCACACACACGCGCCCAGGCATGCATGTGGGCTTGCTCAGCACCTGGGGAGTCGCGGAGCTCAGGGAGCCGGCACCCCCGGGCCCTCTGGCCAGGCTGTCCGCATCCTGGCCGCCCCCGCCCCTGAGGCTGAAGGGGCCCCTGGGGGTGACCGGGACCTGGGCCGGGGCCTGGCTGAGCAGGTGGTGCAGGGACAGCCGAGGCCCAGCTCCCCGGTCAGCCCCTGGGCGAAGGGCACTCACCGATGAAGGACACGGCCTTGGTGTTGATGATGCCGCTGGGCAGCAGGTGGAAGTCATACTCTTTGCCGTCCACCACCACCGTGTGGCCAGCGTTGTTGCCCCCCTGGGGACGGAAACCGCTGAGTGTGCAGGGCCTCGGGGCTGGGGCCACCGGAGAGCCCGTCTCACACCAGCCCTGCCCGGGGCCTCCCAGCTGTGCCCAGCCCTGCCCGGGGCCACCCGAGAGCCTGTCTCACACCAGCCCTGCCCGGGGTCCCCCAGCTGTGCCCAGCCCTGCCCGGGGCGCCCGGCTCCAAGGCAGGGTGTCCAGGCTGCTGGCACGGGAGGCCCTGCCCCCAGGGTGGGAGAGGCCGTCCACACCTGGACTCGGGGAGTCTAGTCCGGTGTGGGCTCTGCGTGTCGGGGTGAGCCGGGTTGGCGCCCTGCTCCTCCGTGGAGGCGGACCCAACACCCCCACTGTCCCGGGGCACCCGCTGCCCCAGGAGGTGTCTCAGTGCAGCCCTGGCGCTGGGGCCCTCGCATGAGAAATGAGCGCCCAGCCTTCCCACTACAGGCTCAGCCCCCACGGCCCGGACAGCCGTGCACGGGGGAGGGGACGGCGCCATCACGGGCCAGCGCCCTCCCTCAGCAGGGACCCCGGAGCATCCACACCCTCCACTTCAGAATAAAAAGAAAAAGGCCCTTCCCCAGCCCTGTTCTGGGACGCAGGCCGCAGCCCCTTGTTCTGCCACTGGAGGGCCCCGCGGACCCCAGGGCCTGGGTGGGGGGCCCCTCCCGGCTCCCCTGCCTCCTGGGTCCCCACAGGGATGAGCAGAGCCCAGGGAGGTGCCCAGCCCGTGACCTGTCCCTGTGTCCGCTCCGTCCCCAGGACCCTGAGCCCAGCGGGCCCCACCTCCTGCCTCCATCTCCCCAAGGCGGGTTTATCGTGGGCCCCGCTCAACACGCTATATGAGGTCCCCCCATTCCCCCCCGCCCGCAGGGCCCAGCAGTGGGGGAGCTCACTGGCTTTCCTGACGTCTCCAAGTTCCTCCAACATGGGGGTGGGGGGCAACTGGGGGCCGTGAGGGGCAGACGGGAGACAGTCCCCGAATCACTGAATGAAGTGGCTGGAACCCCAGCCCTCCACCGGCCGAAGCCCATCCCGCAGGGACCCTGGGCGCGGGGCATCCCTTACAGCCGGCCCC